GTCTGGGGCTGTTGAAGTAACAATATCAGCTGTTGTCATAATGTTTACAGTAGTCGACGGGAACAGTTTAGCTTGGCAAGTTGTGTGTTGAAATACCCGCTCAGTTTCATGATTTTCTTGCGCTCTTGTGCATTTTATAAGCCAGATTTTATTAACGTTGATCTTAAATACAATATGGTTACAGTAATACATGATCTTTTTAAAGCAATGAAGATCAAAGTTATATGAAACTTAGGTTAACGGAAGGTGGTGCAAAAAACTTATTTTGGATTGTATCAGGATATAGTAAATTGCTTATGCATGCAGACTGAGTGCAGGTAATCTTCACTTTTCCAATTGCTTTGGCATGAGAAATATGAAAGGTACAAAATTAAATTCCCTAATCACTTACTAACCAAGCTGAAGGATTTCTCTGGTTCTCTTTGATTACATTAGCTGGAAAAATTTACTTGTATTTTACGATTGCCCTGAGTTTTCACAAACACAAAAAATCTGCACGAGCTATTTGACTTGATTGTAGAAAAAAAGTTCTCGCATCAGGTTTCAAGGAAGTAGTATTTCGACATGGTGAGTTAATTCTAACCATACCTAGCAACACTGCTGCAGCAGAACGCACAGTTTCCGCCCTGAAACGAGTAATTACTCGCTTCCGTGGATCACACAGCCAGGAAAGACTAAGTGGCCTCAGTTTACTCTGTTGAAAAAAGTGTACTGATGCAACTGAAGCAAAGAGGCTAATGTATGTCGAGATAATTGAACAGTTTACATCTCAAAGAACAGCAATGACAAACAAGTGAATTTAGTAAAATTATCTGGCGCTTTTATTTTTAAATTTATGCATAAAATAAAATTCATTTTTTTGCCATTTATAGAATATTAGAAATTCAGTTTATTTATGCATGACAACTCATATAATTTGCAATCCGTACTATGTATAGAAATAGCTTAAAGTTTGTATGTTTATTTTTGAGTAATACTTATGCCAGAAAAGTAGTTATAGGAGTGCACACCCTGTGACTGTAACCAACATACGCCACTGATCTCAATGTTTTTTAACGAAATAAACATGTTTACCTTCATCTTTATCTTTGCAAGTTAAGGTGTTGCTGCAATGACTGGCGTAAACAATCTCCTTATTGTCACCTATTTAAATTTAAATGACATTTCTTAAACTACAGAGACAAAGTTTTATTAAATTGCTAGAGACAATGGCGGGCCAGATAGATTTCCTTTACATACCGGATATGTAGCGTTGGCAGCACTTTCAAGATCGCTGCTTCGGGATAGGCTGTACACTTAGCCTCATTTTTTTCTGAAAACTTGATGTCATTTGATTGATTAACCTTAACCGAGACTTGTTTTTCTTTTGTCTTTAGTCAATATTAACTTTTCCATATCCTGTATGTTTTGGACATCACCAGTCATATAATAACGTTTGTTTTAAAACTTATATTGATCTTCCTTCTACGTCTACGATTTCCAAGCTCTCCGTTTCTCTCTTATTCGGCAAAGGTGTTTTCTACTGAATAAGCAGAAATAAATTTATTTTTGCCATAAATCGACGGAAATGAACCTGAACATATATATAATGTCGTGCCGAATAGGTAAAACTTGCTGTTTTGGTTGAAATAGAAACACCCTTCTTGCCGAATAACGCAAGCGAAAATTTATGTATGCAATAATTTCGCAAAAGTCATTCTGAACCTAACGAAAAAAAAATATATCATTGTGTTTGTTTATTATTAAATTATTGTCAACTTGTCTAAAATATATTTAGTTGGATTAAGCACTTGTTATAATAAGGTTAGGTAAGTTTTCTAATTTCCTTTTGGTTCAAAATTATTAATTTTTACATTAACGTAAATGAAAAAAAATATATATCTTTAAACGTATAAGAGAAAATTTTGGAAAGAACTTAATTTTAAATGAGTTCTTGCTAATTGACCAATTTTACCTTTTCGGCACGACATAAACTGCCCTAAAAAAAATCGAAAATTTTACTCTGTGTGGAAAATTACATTTACCTGAATGTATCATTATGTACATAACAGTAAATGAACAAAGATAATTATTATTTATCAGTTAGACAAGTAGGAATTTGGGACACCTAGGTCGCAAAAAAATGTCCCCCTTCGATACCTACCACTGTCATATCCACAAGTTGCTCTGGACCTATTAATTACAAATGAAATATGTATCACCAGGAATGCTGGTAAATATATAAATTTGTGGACTGTATATTAAAATTAAAAAAGGATTATATATATACACATATACATAACAGAAGGAGAATATCTTAAACTCACTCACCAATTTGACTGGAGATTAAGGTGTATCATACTCAGATAACCTCACTGTCTATACATGAAAATAACACTGGCCAGAGTTAAAACATCACAGACTTATCTGAGGTTCCTGGAGCTGTCTTGTCCAGTCTCCCGACATCTCAAGTTATGCAGGAATACACATCCAACAATTTCGCCTCCTATTTGAGAGGTGTCAGCCCAATTTTAACCTCTAGAGCATGAAAAATTCTTCCCATTCACTAATGTCTGTTACTCAATTCAAACAAAAAATGGCGAGTATCTTCTGCACAGGCTTCCCATTTTTTATAACATAATTTTTATTAAATACAGTATGGCCATCTATTCACATATAACTACTGTATTTCTGGAAAATATATACAGTATTTTCCACACTGTGGCCGGGCGGAGTTTATTGCTAAACGACTCAAATTGCTCATTTGGCAATGGTGGAGGACCTGGCATACACGCAGCGACATATTACACAAGATTTAACCACCCTTTTTACACTTTGCCGTCCTTGTGGAATCCAGAAAGTTTCCCTAATACAATTTAAAATATCTTGTACCCCACCATTCATTACATTTTTATGAGCATTTAGAACAATTAAATTTGTTAGATGATGAGTTTTGGGCAGTAAGATAGGATGTTTAGCATAATCACCCAATTCAGCATTTTGTAACCTACCTCTGCACCTAATTACATTGTTCTCTAAATACAGCCCCAATTTATCCAATATTCAAGAGGATGTGAAAACTTATATGAGATATTCATCTTGTTTAAAAATTTAAACACCAACTTAGTTACATTGATTAGTTTGGGTAAAGAAGAATACCTATTTATATCAATGGCTAAGGAAGGACAAACTATTGGAGCAGTGGTCACAGTAATTTCAACAGGAGCCATATACGCCTTTTGTAAAGGCCAATTAGCTTTATTTACCAACCAGCTCGGTCCTTTAAACCATGATACAGCATTTACAAATTTAGCATAAGATAACCCTCGAGAGAAGAAATCAGCTGGATTCTCCTCACCAGGTATATGATTAAATGTTAACATATGCTGACCCAAACTATTATACTTCTCTTGCATCTGATTAATTTCAGCGACTCTGTTTTGTACGTACACAATTTTACTGTTTCCATTACGAATCCATTGTAAGGATACCTCATTATCAGACCAAATTACAGTGTCGCTAATATTTATCTCGTGCAACTTATTTCTTACATAATTAGCTAATTTGACACCTACATAAATGGCTGTTAATTCCAACTGAGGTAAGGTACGTGATTTAATTGGAGACACTTTAGCCTTAGACATAAGAGAAATAAGCAGCTGCTCCATATGCCAATTTTGAAGCATCACAAAAAATGTGGAGTACATTTTTCCCATTTGGATTGGCCACCTGGCGTGGGAACTCCAACGTAGGAATTTTTTCATAATCACCAATTAATTCATCCCACCTGTTAATGAATTTCATCCCAAGCACATTTAAGTTTCCACGCTTCCTGCATTAATAATTTCCCTCTTATAGTAAGGGGTGACACTAAACCTAGTGGATCAAAACATTTGGAAACTTCAGCAAGCAAGACACTCTTAGTTCTTTTATTGGGCATACTGTAATTATTAGGTTTTAACATTAACAATGTTAAAACCTAATAATTATAAAGAATTATACTGGGGCACGATTTCATGAGTAAAACACAGTTATGGTATTTGTAGTTTCCTCTAGTCATGAATTATTACTACGAGGAATCCTACCATACATTACATGGCCTCCTGCAGTCTTCAAAAGGGTGACCTGGAGTTTACCTGGAGAGAGTTCCAGGGGTCAACGCCCCCGCGGCCCAGTCTGTGACCAGGCCTCCCGGTGGATCAGAGCCTGATCAACCAGGCTGTTACTGCTGGCTGCATGCAAACCAACGTACGAGCCACAGCCCGGCTGGTCAGGAACCAACTCTAGGTGCTTGTCCAGTGCCAGCTTGAAGACTGCCAGGGGTCTGTTGGTAATCCCCCTTATGTTTTCTGGGAGGCAGTTTAACAGTCTCGGGCCCCTGACACTTATTGTATGGTCTCTTAACGTGCTAGTGACACCCCTACTTTTCATTGGGGGGATGTTGCATCGTCTGCCAAGTCTTTTGCTTTCGTAGTGAGTGATTTTCGTGTGCAAGTTCGGTACTAGTCCCTCTAGGATTTTCCAGGTGTATATAATCATGTATCTCTCCTGCCTGCGTTCCAGGGAATACAGGTTTAGGAACCTCAAGCGCTCCCAGTAATTGAGGTGTTTTATCTCCATTATGCGCGCCGTGAAGGTTCTCTGTACATTTTCTAGGTCAGCAATTTCACCTGCCTTGAAAGGTGCTGTTAGTGTGCAGCAATATTCCAGCCTAGATAGAACAAGTGACCTGAAGAGTGTCATCATGGGCTTGGCCTCCCTAGTTTTGAAGGTTCTCATTATCCATCCTGTCATTTTTCTAGCAGATGCGATTGATATAATGTTATGGTCCTTGAAGATGAGATCCTCCGACATGATCACTCCCAGGTCTTTGACGTTGGTGTTTCGCTCTATTTTGTGGCCAGAATTTTTTTTGTACTCTGATGAAGATTTAATTTCCTCGTGTTCACCATATCTGAGTAATTGAAATTTCTCATGAAATTTCTTTACCATACCCTTTACAAAGGAGGCATAATAGTCACTGCCTATCAAAATATTTATTGGGCGTACAGAATCATCACTTACACCAGAAGGTGCTAAATTTACATTATGTGAAAGTCTTTCTGTAGCTTTACTAAGCCCTACTGTAGATATTTTCTCTGGAAGAGTATCTACAGTTACTGCATTAACACGCTTTTTCTCATTGCCCAACCTGACAGTTACATAAACAGTGTCATACAATTGAGCCCTTTTATCCGAGAGAAAAACCAGATAATTTTAAAGTTGTGGGATCTCCCATCTGTACTTTCATACCATCAAGACATTTACGTTTTATGAAAGTAAGCTGGGATCCCTGGTCTAACAATGCATTTACATTTTTTGATTTATGCCTTTTATCATCAATTTTTACCTGTAACGCAAGTAAGGCTACTTCAGCAAAACCATCATTGTTAACATTAGCAGCAATTTTTACATTAGCTACTGTTGTGTCAGGATTGTCAACATTATCAATATTATCAACATTATCATATAGACCTTTACACATGACTATATGGTGTCTTCCTTTATGACATTGATAACAGTTGTTTAATTTGGCATGACAACCCTTTACATTGTGATTACCTAAACACCTGATACATCTGTCAGGTTCCTCCAATCTTTCAACTTTATCATTCCATGAATTGTATGCATTGCAATTCTTAGAAAAATGAGTACCCTTGCAGAAAAGACAATCTCTCTTTTCTCTGACTGGTTTCTTATTAACTGGGCTACTCTTAGGAGGGTACTTATTCTTTTTACCTTGTGGAGAATCATTATTTCTGATTCTTTCTACTTGATATGCAACTTTTTTTAGGAAATGAATTTTGATTATTACCATTGGAATAATTTTTCTCTTTGTGAAACTTGACAGATACCTCAGAGTTATTATGTGTTGCATCTTTAAAATGAGTTGGTTGGCTGGTCTGCAACTGAACAATTAATTCTTGTAGACCTAGTCTTATTTCCTCCAGATCAAAATAACCCTTGTGATATTTGTTCGAGAGTCATTCAAGTGTTTTACAGCTTAATTTATTCTGTACCATGGCACTCAATAACCAGTCTGAATCCTTCAGATTATATTATTACTTAGCTGTATAGTCCTTGTGGCTTAGCGCTTCTTTTTGATTATAATAATAAATATTATTACTTAAAGTTTTGAGAGTGCTCTCCAGTTTAACTCTAAACTGCTGTAAACCTTTGTAAGTGTGATCTGGAGATTTTAAATTAACAATGATATTCACTAGATCCAACCTACTTTGTTCTATATTACCATAAGTGACTTTCAGCAAGTCAACTGCTTCCTTGTAAGAGTCATCTACATTGGGAAAGGCTTGTATGAGTATGTGAGCATCTCCTCTTACCTGTCCTTTGAGGTAAAATAATTTAGTTACACAGGCTAGGTCACTCCTGTCATGCACAGCTGCTTTAAAAAGTGACCAAAATTCCTCCCAATTTTCTCCAGGATTAAATACAGGTAAACATATTCCTCCCAATTTTCTCCAGGATTAAATACAGGTAAACATAATTTTGGGAGTTTTGGCAAGGACATATTATTTGTTGGAGCAGACTGATTAACTGCCTGGTTTACACATTTTAATTTATTCAAGGCCTGACTTTTACAAGAAAGAATCTTTTCCTCTAATTCATAATACTGATTAATCATAAGATCTACTTCAGTCTCATCTACACAGTTAACTAACAAATCTCCTTCATATTTGTTATAATTTGTATGAATCATATCTATTCCCTAAAGCATCTAAATATAATTTTAAATCAGTATTCACAGTTTCTTGATTCATTAATTCCAAACATTTATTTTATGCTTTTGTTACATGCCTTTTTCTAGCTTGCAGTGATGCTTTTTTTGCTCTATATTCCATATGTTTGTCTTCTACATTAATTACCTCATTTTCAGCCATGATGCAATGTATTAAATTCAACTTAATTAATAACACTGATTACAACTTACAACACTGATACAACTTACCTTTGAATAAATCCTAGCTACTTGAGCTTAGCAATTACATGTAAGAAAATAATATAAACTTCAAATGTACATTAATACAAACCTTTAGCCAGACTCTGCTTATCAAAATTAATATTATACAAATTAACATAAATCCTTGCCAGAATTTGGCATAACAAAATTAATATTATACACAATATAATTAGCTACACTTGGCTTATCAGTTATACATACACTGATATACATCTTGGCCAGAATTGTCTATCAAATTAATATTGTAATAATTATAATCCACTACACATTAAGTAAATTTGTGAACTTAACATCCACCTCCTTCTGTCATTTCACATATAATTATTAAGTAATTAACTAATTAATGACTTCACTAATTACCTCCGGTTCAAGAAGGACCATCGGGCAAATTAAATGTGGAAAATTACATTTATCTGAATGTATCATTATGTACATAACAGTAAATGAACAAAGATAATTATTATCAGTTATACAAGTAGGAATTTGGGACACCTAGGTCGCAAAAAAATGTTCCTTTTCGATACCTACCACTGTCATATCCACAAGTTGCTCTGGACCTATTAATTACAAATGAAATATGTATCACCAGGAATGCTGGTAAATATATAAATTTGTGGACTGTATATTAAAATTAAAAAGGGATATATATATATATATATATATATATATATATATATATATATATATACACATATACATAACAGAAGGAGAATATCTTAAACTCACTCACCAATTTGACTGGAGATTAAGGTGTATCATACTCAGAAAACCTCACTGTCTATACATGAAAATAACACTGGCCAGAGTTAAAACATCACAGACTTATCTGAGGTTCCTGGAGCTGTCTTGTCCAGTCGCCTGATATCTCAAGTTATGCAGGAATACACTTCCAACAATTTTGCCTCCTATTTAAGAGGTGTCAGCCCAATTTTAACCTCTAAAGCACGAAAAATTCTTCCCATTCACTAATGTCTGTTACTCAATTCAAACAAAAAATGGCGAGTATCTTCTGCACAGGCTTCTTCCCATTTTTATAACATAATTTTATTAAATACAGTATGGCTATCTATTTACATATAACTACTGTATTTCTGGAAAATATGTACAGTATTTTCCACACTCTGGTTTATAGATAATTTTTCATTTTAAACTTATATAATCACCTCCTTGCTCATGATCATTAGAACATAAAAGATTGAACATATTTATAGATATACTTAACAAATGTTTCCTTTCAAGGGCCCTTGATCCTTTGATCAAAGCCCGATTTGCTGTTGGTCCCCAGGCACTGTATAATCCTTACAGGTTGAGCACTTCCCTATGAAAATAATAAGTATTTCAATAATTCATTTTACTGTTAGACTGTGTAACACAAGCAGCACAGACGCTGCACGAAGTACTCTTTTAATTTGTTTTTGTCTTCTTGCAATGCCAGGTGAACAGCTGGCTGTAGAAAGACGACAGTAGCCTGCGCAGAACTAGAAAGACGACCAACACTGCCATGTGAACGACAGCCACGACATCCAGCATGAGGAACTCCATCCAGGAGAGGTCAGCTGCCGGGGACCTGAGACGCGGAGCTCCACGATGACGAGCCACATACTCGGTCCAGAAAACTGCCGTCTCCAGAGGCTCTTGAGGACGGTCCCGGTCCACCCTCGACGCCGCCTCCATGTTACGCTTGTACCTGCACCCAGACAAGGTGAGTGGCAAGGTAAGACAGAGAGACATCACGATGACCATGGGAAATAATAAAGTAAACTGGAGTAGCAGTAAGATGAAATGGAGTCGAAACAAGATTTAATGGAGTGGAAAAATTAGTATACTTCAGTAGTGACAATGTTTACTTGGGGCAGTAACACCGTGTACTGTGGTGGTAACTGCACTGGGATAGTAGCAATATGAAATGAGTTAGTAACAAGGTGCCCAGAAGAGGTAACATGTACTAGGACAGTAGCAGGATATTCTGGAATAGTAACAAGGAATAGTGAAGCGGTAACAAGATGCACTAGGGGTATCAACAAGTTGAACTCATAACATAATATGCACTGACACTATTACGGTATACTAGGGCAGTAATGTAATAAGACAGAGAGGGACAGCTCATGGGAAAGGCAGATTACAGGAGACTACAAAGCCCGTGTCTAGTGAGAGAGAGAAGCTGCCTCTAATTCTGTGAAGAGAGCCGAGATTAGGACAATACAGCAGTAGGCACTCTCTCTCCCCACTTTCCAATCCTACTGGCCAACTTCCCGGCTGGAGAAAGACCGGCGAATTGATTACAAGAAATGGAGAAATGTGTGTGGCTATTTACATGGAATGTAAAAGAAGAATTTGGCTGCAGTTAAGACTATTACAAGCATCACAGTTAATTTTGCTCTATTATTATTATTCCCTGCTCATACTGTCGGCTGCCATGGCTGCTGCAGACTCCCCAATTTCTAAACTTAAGGCCCACGGAATAGGAGGAGAATTTTTTTCCTGGGTAGGGGCATGGTTGACAAATAGGCAGCAGAGAGTTTGCATAAATGGGGAGAAATTAGAATGGGGCTCGTCACAAGCGGTGTTCAACAGGGGTCAGTGTTGGGCCCCTTGTTGTTCACAATCTACATAAACAACATAGATAAAGGAATAAATAGCGACATAAGCAAATTTGCTGATGACACCAAAATAGGCCGTCCAATTCATTCTAATGAGGACATTAGAGCACTCCATGATGAATAGACTGATGCAGTGGTCGGAGAAGTGGCAGATGCAGTTTAATATAAAATGCAAAGTTCTAAATGTTGGACAGGAAAATAACCATGCCACATATTAACTAAATAATGTAGATCTTAATATTACAGATTGCGAGAAGGATTTAGGAGTTATGGTTAGCAGTAATCTAAAACCAAGACAACAGTGCATTAGTGTTCGCAATAAGGCTAACAGAATCCTTGGCTTCATAGCAAGAAGTATAAATATTAGAAGTCCTCAGGTTGTTCTTCAACTCTATATATCTTTGGTTATGCCTCATTTGGATTATGCCGCTCAGTTTTGGTCACCGTATTACAGAAAACGTACATGAGGATGACAGAGGAGGGTGACAAAGTTGATCTCATATATCAGAAATCTTCCTTATGAGGATAGACTGAGGGCCCTGAATCTGCACTCTCTAGAAAGGCGTAGAATTTTGCTGATATATGATTGTGGTGTAAAAATGGAAAACAGGAATTAATAAAGGGTATGTAAATAGCGTGCTAAAAATATCTAACATAGACAGGACTCGCAGCAATGGCTTTAAATTGGATAATTTCAGATTCAGGAAGGATATAGGAAAGCACTGGATTGGTAATAGAGTTGTGGATGAGTGGAACAAACTCCCAAGTTCCGTCATAGACGCTAAGACGTGTAGTTTTAAAAATAGATTGGATAAATACATGAGTGGGTGTGGGTGGATGTGAGCTGGAACTGACTAGCTACTAGGTCGGATGTTGTGCTCCTCCCTTAGGTGATGTGTCTGACCTTACTAGGACAAGGCATTGGCTTAATTAAGCTGGTGGGAGAATTGGACTTGCCTCACATAGGCCAGTAGGCCTGTTGCAGTGGGTGTGGGTGGATGTGAGCTGGAACTGACTAGCTACTAGGTCGGATGTTGTGCTCCTCCCTTAGGTGATGTGTCTGACCTTACTAGGACAAGGCATTGGCTTAATTAAGCTGGTGGGAGAATTGGACTTGCCTCACATAGGCCAGTAGGCCTGTTGCAGTGGGTGTGGGTGGATGTGAGCTGGAACTGACTAGCTACTAGGTCGAATGTTGTGCTCCTCCCTTAGGTGATGTGTCTGACCTTACTAGGACAAGGCATTGGCTTAATTAAGCTGGTGGGAGAATTGGACTTGCCTCACATAGGCCAGTAGGCCTGTTGCAGTGTTCCTTCTTTCTTATGTTTTATCATCGACGAATAGCCCTATTTCAAGACTTATTATGTAAAATGTGAGGAGGAGGATCAGTTTATGAAAAACTCCATTCTTGACGTTCAGACATTTTTTCCGTTCATTACCAATCGTTGTTTCCGGCTGGTAAGTCAGTAATGCAAGTCTGGTGAGTCAGTAATGCAGGTATGCTGAAACAGCCGTCAGACAGCAACAGGGTGGCTGGTGAATGACACCAGTAACTTTGTAAGAAAGACATATTTGGTTATAGGATATTTATTAGAGACGCTTCGTCCAGCAGGGGCTTCATCAATCAAAAACACACAACAAAAATCACAGTGAATATATATAATGGGTCGGGTCAGATGCTGCACCGGCTGATTTGCAGTCAGTATGCTCAGGTAAGCCCATTCAAACCCTTGCACAGAAGCCCTCCAAACTTTCCTCAGCACTGGTGAACACCCCTCCAGATGGATCGAAAATACTGGCACTGACGTCCGCATGAACCAGATACATGATCTGTCAAGTAAGGCAACAGAGGCACTTCTATGCTCCATGGGATATTACACCATTCCAAACTACCATCCCTCCATTTCCCCAAAATCTTCTTAAATCATAACGAAAGTTCGCCCTGAAGCCAGACAGGATGCCTTAAGCTGTATTGATAACTTAGTCACACTCACAAATTATTAACGTTGATATATTGATGGTACTGGTCATCAGTCCATGGGTGCAGCTGGTAGTACTACTGTTGTCATATAGAGTGACGGCTCTCATAAAGAAATTGGAGCACACATTAATAACTGGGCCTCTACCCTTCAAACAGGACTGCCATATTCCTTGCACTCAAATGCGTCCATGTATCGAAGGTTAACACACTAATTGTAACTAATTCTCTATCATCTATAAATGCTCTCAACTCATTAAGTATAAAGTGTGGCATGCTTGTGTCAGAAGCCAGACACAGGTATGGTAGGTCTGTGGACAGTGGAGTCAGAGTGCACATGCTGTAGACTCCATATCACATTGGTCTTCAGATGCATGATAGAACTGGTGAATTGGCTAAGTTATACGCTTTCAAAGAGATTGTAGATTGAAATCTTGGCTTGTCAGTTAGCAGTTTGTGAACAATAATATGAAAAGAGCTTCAGCTGAACTTTGTTGACTTTAGACTGAGGGAGACTGACACCAGTCAATCCATCTATCATCATTATGTCACGCAGGAGGAGCCACATGTCTACGGTGCATCCAACAAAATAAGCCGACTCTTGGATGTCACTACTGCCTGGCTCCGGCTGGGTTACAAGTATCTTTGGGAGGTTAAATCACCACCACCAGTTATAGACCAAACGAAATGTAAACTTGTTGTCACACCTTGCGTTATTATGTACTGAAATACGATAAAACTGATGAATTCAGAGACAGCTCACTCAGAATATTCAAGACATGTCAAAGTATTTTATCCACAGTGGTATATTACAAACCATTCTGGAAAAATATCCTGACTTTGCTCACTTTAATTAAAGCTGATATTTGCATTAATAACTCATTGTGTCGAGGTGTGGACGTGTGAATGGGTCATTGCTTTTGTAACTTGTTCAGCTTTCAAAACTTTGTGGCCCAGCCCCTGGACCCATTATGTAGCTCTGCAATTTTTTTGACTTCCGCCCACAGGATGGGTATGGGGTGCATAATAAATATATTAAACTTACCCGGCTAGAAATAAAGCAGACTCATGACTGATACACTGTTCTCCCGGATGGACAGGATTCGGAGAACATAGCCTTAATGTAAGGTTCACATAGCCAGAATATCTTTCAACACCATTAAGAGCTGAATAACGAAGAACACTCAACACAGTGAATCAAACACTGGTATTTACACTTTCTTGTAGGTATATGATAACATATAGAAACGTTAAACACAAATCAGGGCAAATGTGCTTACTAGAGGGGCGATTTAAACTATGTCAAACTCATTTAAGGAATCAGATCTGCGCCACAGATGGTGTTTAGAATGTCATCTTTACAAACAAAACCACTTCTGAGAACATAGGCAGTTCAACGATCTCGGAAATACCTGCCAAGTACAGCCTACCTCAACTGAAAGGAGACATTTCCTAGCTCAGCCCGTCCAGCATTTGACCCGAATCACTGTACTGTATATAATCTGCCAACTCTGTATTGGATTGAACATCAAAATGGTATACAATACCGACAGGTTGGTAGGTAAGACACATAGGCAACAGTTAGGCAACTTTATTCCGAAACGTTTCGCCTACACAGTAGGCTTCTTCAGTCGAATACAGAAAGTAGGCAGGAACAGTAGAGAAGACGATGTAATCAGTCCATCACCCTTGAAGTCGAAGAATTTGAGGTTGTCAGTCCCTCAGCCTGGAGAAGTTCAGTTCCATAGTCAGGAACTATCTGACTATGGAACTGAACTTCTCCAGGCTGAGGGACTGACAACCTCAAATTCTACGACTTCAAGGGTGATGGACTGATTACATCGTCTTCTCTACTGTTCCTGCCTACTTTCTGTATTCGACTGAAGAAGCCTACTGTGTAGGCGAAACGTTTCGGAATAAAGTTGCCTAACTGTTGCCTATGTGTCTTACCTACCAATCTGTATTGGATTGCTTGGGTGTGTTATACCACACTCATTCAGAAGGACATATCTGATATGGTATTAACCAGCCAGAGATAGAAGGTGGTTTGGTGGTCTGGTCTGCTCGCAGAAGAGATGTAACCTCGCCCACACTTGCATCCCTTCCTCTGAAACACCAGTCCTAGCACTGAGTCCGTTATACCAAGATGATGCACTAATTCTCGCTAGGAATAACAACTCTTCCAGGCTGGCTAAGGTGAGGTGCAGAAAGTGATTTTCTCTGGTGGAGGTCGAATGCAAGACGTCTGTCTCTTTAACAGAGAGCTAAATTAGCTACAGCTGCTAGAAAACCCGCTGGATGTACTCGGCACATGCCGAGTATTGGATTGAGAAAGCCTTAAGTAGGCGAAAACTCTCCCATTTAAATGTCCTAAGCACTGCATTTGTGAATGTATTCCACAGCAACTTATAAACAAGAAACAGAATGGAAGGTCTGCTGGCACAAGGCATCTTCAAAGAAAGTGCCATTGAAGCTAATGAAGCATTAGTAATCCAAGGAATTGTAGCCATCCTCCTTATCCTCAGATCAAGCCTGATTACTTCCCATTCCCCGAGACACTCTATATCTCTTCAAGGGTTAGCATTTTTCATGAATATCAATACTAATAATAATCAAGCATGCACAAGGGAGGTATGCCCACAGGATGGGTGTGGGGTGCATTAAAAATATATTAAACTAACCAACTAACAAGCGAGATGAATTCAGAGTGAGCAGGCACTAGTACTCACTTGGGATTAGTGAGGACTTCTGTGATGGTGTCCACTAGAAGTTCCACTGTGAGTTCCTCCCACTCCAAGGCGAGACCCAACCCACGATTGACAATCATCTTGGCGTTCTTGGGCTGGTCTGCGAAGACTGGGAGAGCGATCAAGGGCTTTCCATGACATATAGATTCCTGTGTGCTCAGTAGACCACCGTGGGTGATGAACAACTCAACTCTTGGGTCCGCTGATGAGAACGAATAAGAATGATCTCATGACCATTGTAGGAAAGATACACAATAACACATCAGTGTGTAACCAGACCATAGTGAGTAAATATGTATGTTAGTTTATTCAGGCATATACAAATACAGTTACATAGATTATCATACATAGAATATGTGTAGAGAACCTAGGATAACCCATGAAAGTCTGACCGCAGGTTCAATCCCGCCCGTGGTATGGTTTCAGAGTGACATATTTTCATTGGAGTAACTCGTATGATATACTCTCAAGCTCTGCAGAGTTCTACTTTGATGATTTTGAAAGGTTTTTGGAGCCACTCTCCACTTCCCTGCACAACACCTTATTACATCCTCTTTCCATCTAGGGAATTGGATCTGTGCTCCAGTTCCCTGAATTAAGCCTGAATACCTTCCACCCCCCAACAGGCGCTGTATAATCCTACCGGTTTAGCGCTTTCCCATGATTATAGTTATAGTAATACATCCTCTTTCCCATCAACTATATGACCCTTACCTAAGAACATAAGCCTTATGACTCATGCCGGTTAGGTCCTACTCATATCCAGCCACATCATTTCAGGTACTTGTTCAACCTGTTTTTAAAGCTGCCCGAGTTCAGTGACGTTACTTGGTAGTTTGTTCATAAGAAGATAACAGAGGAGCACGGTCATTGTCCTACTGGCCCAATATATTTTTAAAGCAATTCAAGCTGTTAGCCATGATGGCTGTTCTTGGCACCTTGTTCCAGTCATCAACACCGCTATTACAAAACTTCCACTGTTTACACTGCCCAAACACTCGCTAATTTCCATGTTCAGTGTTTCACCTTTGACATAGACCCCCCCCCCCTCTCTCTCTCTCTCTCACTCACTTTTTAACAGAATCTAACTTATTGTACCAACTTTGATTGACATTTTACTGTTGCAGTGCTCCCCACCTCCACTAGCCCCTCTCCTCCCACAATTCTGCCCCCGCACTAACTCCTAACTTTCGCACCTTCCTACTTTTGCACATTCCTCCCTGCAGCACAGTTTCCTTACAGGTTTAGTGTTTAAATTTGATTATATTATTATGAAGTTATATCATGGAAATCAATTTAAGGCATGGCTTATATAAAATTGAGGAGAGGTCACATGCACTTGTCAATTGTGTTGTGGGAGTTTGAAAGGAGATATGATGGTTGAAGATAAACACACTTATGGATGGTAACACTATATATTGTCAGACTGTGGTAAAGGAGGCCCAGCCTGCCGTGTTGCTGTCTGGTAGGTCTAAGCGTGGACTGAGGAAGTTACAGAGGTACTCGCACACACATGTGCATCATGTGACGTCACACAAACAGTCACTAGGCCTAGTAAGGGATCGTCTGTATAAAACATATGGATGGTACTATGATACTCAGCTAAACTATACAACACATGTAAGGGGATCAGCAACTATGCTGACAGCTCGGTCATGTTACGTATGTCGTCTTGACATACACTATTATGCTATAGGCTGAACAGGCAGGTGGTTCTGGGCTGATTCTATACAATAACAAAGACATATATAACTTAGTACTAATGGATGGTATCATAATGGATGTTAACGTAATGAGTTTTAACGTAATGCATTACGACTTATATGAACAAATTGTACAATAAGGATGGAATTGATCGATTGATCTGTATTCATGCACTATACAGATTCTGAGGAATAATTATATACAGAATAATATATACAGGGTGAAAGTAATTAACAGCAAAGGCAAATCTGGTGCACACAGATCATTACTTCTAACTTCTCAGAATTCGGAGGGAACGTGAACACAAAAAATTTCTGAAAAACTGATCAGCTAATAACAAGACACGCAGTTCACAATCTCATTCATCTCAGACATCTACAGGCTGTTTACATTTAAACCCAACTCTGCAAGGGTAAGATTTACATTTGCAGAATGGTTATCATCTTTGGGTGGATCGAACTCTTCTGCGATGGCTAACACATGCCTTGACTGAGGGCGATCTGAACGAGTATCTACAAAAGATACAGCTACATTCACTAGTGACTCTGGAATTACTAACTCTTCTGCTAGGAGTACTCAACTCGGCTGTTCGATACAGCAATTCTTGGCTCATTACAAAGTCACTAATGGGTGCTGGTGGCTTCACAGTCAGAATAAGATCTTCCTGGAGCAGGAATCGAATCACACCAGACCACAAGGGATCGGATCTTTCTTACTGGAGGAATGAACAAACTAGGTGGAGTGGATGACTCTCCCCGGTTGAAAAAAATAACGCTGTAACACACAATATGAGCAAGGGAGAACGAATCTACTATCTCTCACTGCAAGCACAGGGGAAAATAACTGGACATGGTCAACAATATAGATATTCAGTCTGAGTCGCACACAGTTACACGAGGTATCAACTATAAAGAAACTTCACTTACAAACGTTAACAACATGTGAAAGTTACTCGAGAAACAACTTACATTGAATGAATTACTGTCAACTAGGATGGGATCACCATCTGGAACACAAGGGACAACAACAACACTCAAGTGAGTACACTAGCCACAGAAACGTCTTTCTGCAACAGCTTGTGGCATCAGCAAGAGATGACATAACTCATCACAAGTAAAGTTCTTCTCAAAGCGTCCCCTGGGAAGGAACGAATACTTGAACAAGTCGCCATAGCAAGGATAGTAGTCTCAGCACCCAGGGTTGTCTGAGGTTCCTCTGAAACCCAAGGTAACTGTACACTATCCTGCGTGCACGATATTGTGGCTGGAGTCCAGACAGGAGTGACAGTATTACTAGTGCCTGACCGCTCAGCTATGTTAATAAGTAATTCACGGATCTATAGGAATTTAATCTGAACTTCACATATTGCAGCACTTTAACAAATCTCAGATACAAGCTGTGAGAACAAACACATTGCTCAGGGGCTAGGTGTTGTCTTCCAGTCAGTAAGGGATTATTGGTACTGTGGACTGATTCATATTGACTTTGGCATGATACACTTAGTGAACATTCAAAAGTGACTGGGACATCTTCTCAGGAAACTTACTCAAGGACATAAAGGCAAGAAAATAAAGAGAATATATGACACAGTAAGCTTAAATGGGAAGAAATTACTTATTTAAAAAAATAAGTCACACTGTAAGCAAGGAGAACTCACATAAAAATAAAAAATTACTCAACTGGATAAGCAACACTTTGAAAATCAAGAGAAATTGTACTTTACTCAAATCAAATTTGCTCAAATTTGCTGTAAATTGAATGAATAGCACAGTGAGTTGTCTTTACTCAATGCAATAAAGACATTCAACAATAAAATAAAAAAGCAATAAAAAAAAAGTTAAAATGGACTCAATAAAGCTTGTGCAAAATTAAAACAAACTGGGAAAGCAATTCTAAATAAAAAATATTAAGTGACACACAAGGAACAAAATATTATGCACAGAAAATGTGCAACACAACAGACATAAAATAAAGCACGAAAATTAACACTGAAGAAAGAGGGAAAAAAATTAATATTGCAAGCAGAATATAATGAACACTGAATCTAATCAAGAGTCACTGAATGTCACTAAGAAATCAGTCAAGAAAATTGTCTCAACACTCGCAAATGTCTCTATGAAAAAATATTATTCATTAACACTGTAGTGACGTGGTGTAGAATGAGGTAGATGGTAGTGAAGGGTAGAGGTGGAGACTCGTAGTTGGCAGCGTTCGCTGACTACTCTCCACACGTGATCGAAGAATTTGTGCTTAAATCGATGATGAACTCACACAGGAGGCTTTTATGGTGGCACAACTGACGAAGGAACATTCTTGGCTCTTGACCCCCTATGTGGTCCATAAAAATATGGTGCTAGAACCCATAATAAGGGTACAAAAACAGTGGTAGTGGGTGAGGTGGGTGGTTGAGGCAGCGCGGTGGCGAGACACCACGTGGTGACTGGGCCTATGGGATGAACAGCGTAACCCACACTGGGGACACCCGCACTAGGCACGAAGATATTCTAAGCCGGGCTGGCTTAAAAACAAACCCACAAAATACCACAACACCACAGGGATGATAAAAGCACTCAGAACAGCTAGATCTTGAAGCACAAAGTGATGGAGAAAACTGTACCCACGTGGCTTGCTTGAGTACTGGGTTAGTCACCTGGGTTAGTTGCTGGCTGGCTTGGCTTAACCCTTCACACAGACTGGCTTGATAACTTGTAACGATGAGCACAGCAGGGGTGGAAAGCTGGCTTGGCAGGCAAGGCTGGTTTGTGTAAGGCTGGCTGGACTGGGCTTGGGCTGACTCCCCCACCACGGACTGGCTTAAGTGGCTTGGCTTACTTTGCAAACCCGGGTCAACCCCTCGGAGGTAATGCAAATAGCAAAATAAACACTAATACACAGAGAGTGACCAGTGAATAGTGTAGAGGGCTGGTAAAAGCTTGCTTGGGGTAGGTCGGCTTACTGCCAACACAAAATGTCCATTGTCAGCTGCGAGAATTTATCTCCGTGCATCGGCGTAATTATCAGTTTTACGCCCACACCGCTGGCACCAATTTGTCGTGGGGGTTCGAAAGGAGATATGATGGTTGAAGATAAACACACTTGTGGATGGTAACACTATATGTCAGACTGTGGTAAGGGAGGCCCAGCCTGCCGTGTTGCTGCCTGGTAGGTCTAAGCGTGGACTGAGGAAGTTACAGAGGTACTCACACACACATGTGCATCACATGATGTCACACAGTAAGGGACCGTCTATAAAACATATCGATGGTACTATGATACTCAGCTAAGCTATACAACACATGTAAGGGGATCAGCAACTATGCTGACAAATAGTTCCATGAACCCTCAGCTAGTAATAGTTGATCAGGGGTGAAAGTTTGAAGCTGATCGGCTAAGGCATTCTGAAATTATAAATGAAAACCTATGGGAAGTTAGTGAAAGAGAACACTGTGTGAATTAGACACGTGTGCAACACCTGGATATCTTTATTGTGGAAACATTTTGCCACACAGTGGCTTCATCAGTCCTATACAAAGAAGAATGGTGAAGGAGTTTGAGGTAATCAGTCCCTCAGCCTGAAGTTGATGTAATCAGTCCATCACTCTTGAAAAGACTGATAGAATGATTCCATCGACTGATGGACTGAATACACGAGTCCATCAATCCATCACTCCATCAGTCTCTTCAAGATTGATGGCAATGACGTCGCAAGGGGGGCGGGGGCGGGCCACCCCGGGTGACACTATAGAGCCTCTAAAGAAGGTAACACTAATACCCAAAACAGTGCTGCAGTAACATAAGAGAAAAATCCTTCGTTTCTATATTAGCCTATTTCGGGCAAATTAGGTCAGTTTTGTCCCAGGATGCGACCCACACCAGTCGACTAACAGTCAGGTACCCATTTGATGCTGATGGGTGAACATGGACAGCAGGTGTTTTATGGAAACACGTCCTAATATTTTCCAGCCGTACCGGGGATTCGAACTCCGGACCTCAGTGTGTGAGCTGAGTGCTAAGAAAAAATATATAAACAGAATATAACTAAGAAAGTATTTCCCCCATTAAATACTAAAGTCATTCAGAAGTGCTAGGCTCAATTACATTCAGTGCGACTAAACAGGAATAAAAGTCACACTATTTCTCCCACAAATTTGTCAGCTGTGCGCCTACACTCTTGAAATTCACTCTCCTTTTTTTTTTGAACATTTGAATCTTAGATGCAGTATTTTGGAAGTTGCAGGAGCTGGTCTAGGACGCTGGGAATCGGTTCAATAACTTTAGTTATAGGGTAACTGCAAATGCCTATTATTAGGTGGGATGGGGTCTCGTATTACGAATGAAATATAAACAAGAAGTTGCAGGAAGAAAAAATCTGGCTGCCACATAAAGCTCTCCCTTCGGGGATTAATAATGATAATAATAATAATAATAAAGCTCTTTACTCACCCAGAATATCCTGTTGTGGCATCCAGTCCTTAATAAATACGTTGTTGGAGATTCCTTCTAGCTTGGATTCGTACTTCCATATAACACGGTACTTCAGTCTGCTGAAGGTCTCAATAATAATTCTTAGGTACTTGTCAGGCATCGTCACACCCTTGGCGACCGAACCCAGACTGAAGTATATAACACCTCCAACACCACCACCGTCAAGCCACGACGACAAATCCTGTAGTAAGAAAGATGTGAGTGATGGTGTTATTTTGCTCTTTTCATAACTCATTATGTATAGTGATTAATTTGCTCTCTCTCTCTCTCTCTCTCTCTCTCTCTCTCTCTCTCTCTCTCTCTCTCTCTCTCTCTCTCTGCGGCTGGCACTAAGGTCCTCAAATAGCTAGACAAATACAAGGTAGTATATTATATATGACGTATGTGTATAAAGCCAAACAGGAGAAACGGTGTTTTGACGCCACAGTGACAACAGTAAGGAATATATTATTAGGTGCAATGATGTTGTCCAGTGTAATAGATGTACTCACCTATTTGTGGTTGCAGGGGTCGAGTCACAGCTCCTGGCCCCGCCTCTTCGCTGATTGCTACTAGGTCCTCTCTCTCCCTGCCCCATGAGCTCTATCATACCTCGCCTTAAAACTATGTATGGTTCCCGCCTCCACTACGTCACTTTCTAGGCTATTCCACGGCCTGACTACTCTATGACTGAAGAAATACTTCCTAACATCCCTTTGATTCATCTGAGTCTTCAACTTCCAATTGTGACCTCTTGTGTCTGTGTCCCTTCTCTGGAACATCCCGTCTTTGTCCACCTTGTCTATTCCGCGCAGTATTTTATATGTTGTTATCATGTCTCCCCTGACCCTCCTGTCCTCCAGTGTCGTCAGGCCGATTTCCCTCAACCTTTCTTCGTAGGACAATCTCCGTAGCTCTGGGACTAGTCTTGTTGCAAACCTTTGCACTTTCTCTAATTTCTTGACGTGCTTAACTAGGTATGGATTCCAAACTGGTGCTGCATACTCCAGTATGGGCCTGACGTAAATGGTATACAGAGTCTTAAACGAATCCTTACTGAGGTATCGGAACGCTATCCGTAGGTTTGCCAGGCGCCCGTATGCTGCAGCAGTTATCTGATTGATGTGCGCCTCAGGAGATAGCTCGGTGTTATGCTCACCCCCAGATCTTTTCCTTGAGTGAGGTTTGCAGTCTTTGGCCATCTAAACTATATTGGTCTGCGGTCTTCTTTGCCCTTCCCCAATCTTCATGACTTTGCATTTGGCAGGGTTAAATTCAAGGAGCCAGTTGCTGGACCAGGCTTGTAGCCTGTCCAGGTCTCTTTGTAGTCCTGCCTGATCCTCGTCCGATTTGATTCTTCTCATTAACTTCGCATCATCTGCAAACAAGGACACTTCTGAGTCTATCCCTTCCGTTATGTCGTTCACATATACCAAGAACAGCACGGGTCCTAGGACTGACCCCTGTGGAACCCCGCTTGTCACAGGCGCCCACTCTGACACCTCGTCGCGTCCCATGACACGTTGTTGCCTCCCTGTCAGGTATTCTCTGATCCATTGCAGTGCCTTTCCTGTTATGTGTGCCTGATCCTCTAGCTTTTGCAGTAACCTCTTGTGAGGAACTGTGTCGAATGCCTTATTGTAGTCCAAAAATATGCAGTCGATCCACCCCTCTCTCTCTTGTCTTACTTCTGTCACCTTGTCATAAAACTCTAGTAGGTTTGTGACACAGGATTTTCCTTCCCTGAAACCGTGCTGGTTGTCAATTATACACTTGTTTCTTTCCAGGTGCCCCACCACTCTCCTCCTGATGATCTTCTCCATGACCTTGCATACTATACACGTTAGTGATACAGGTCTGTAGTTTAGTGCCTCATGTCTGTCTCCCTTTTTAAAAATTGGGACTACATTTGCCATTTTCCATACCTCAGGGAGTTTCCCAGTTTCAAATGATGTGTTGAAGATCTTTGTTAATGGCTCACACAATATCTCTGCTCCCTCTTTAAGGACCCATGGAGAGATGTCTGGTCCCACCGCCTTTGAGGTGTCAAGTTCGCATAGCAGCTTCTTCACCTCCTCCTTGGTTATATGTACCTCATCCAGCACTTGCTGGTGTGCCCCCCCTGTTCTGATTTCCTGGAGTCCTACTGCTTTCCACTGAAAATACCTCTTTAAATCTTGTGTTGAGCTCCTGACATACCTCTTGGTCGTTTCTTGTGAATTCCCCATCACCCTTCCTCAGTCTGATTACCTGGCCCTTGACTGTTGTTATCCTCCTGATGTGGCTGTACAACAGCTTCGGGTCAGTCTTTACTTTTGATGCTATGTCATTTTCATATTGTCTCTGAGCCTCCCTTCTTATCTGTGCATATTCGTTTCTGGCTCTTCGGCTGATTTCTTTATTTTCCCGAGTTCTCTGTCTTCTGTACCTTTTCCATTCTCTAGTACACCTAGTTTTTGCCTCACTACACCTTTGGGTGAACCAAGGACTCGTTCTGTTCTTCCCATTATTTCTGTTTCCCTTGGGAACAAACCTCTCCTCTGCCTCCTTGCATTTTGTTGCTACATAGTCCATCATTTCTTGTACTGGTTTTCCTGTCAGTTCCCTCTCCCACTGAATGTCTTGAAGGAAGTTCCTCATGCCTGAGTAGTTCCCCCTTTTGTAGTTTGGTTTTTCCCAGCCTATTCCTGCTACTCTCTCCA